GTTATCGCTGATTAAATTCTTGACAGATAATAGAGCAGAAATTGGATAATAAGGTTTTGTGACATTATCGCTTTCCAGGGTAGTACAAGAAATGGAAATTTCTCAATGGGAAGTACCAAATTTTTTCTCCAAATTGACTTTTCACATAAATAAACACATTTAAAACATGGGGTAAGTATCTGCAGTTACCATATGCTAATGAGGCAAAATTTCGACCAAAAATGGTAAATATGGTCTAAGCTCATTGTAAGCAACCACCTCCCCTAAGGGACCACCTAGGCTTGATATTTTGAGTGGTCACTTAAAGGAGGTTCGACTGTATATATATTTTAAGCTCAAGACTACTATTAACAAGGTTTGTTTTTTTCCCTTTAAGCTGATTCTTCTGCACATGAGGAGGGAAACATCCAACTGTCTTTGAACAGAAAGTAAGTTTGTTGTCCTGCAACAGTTCTTTACCTTACAAGCTACAGATATTAGAGTGCAATGAAAATTGATTTTTTTTAAAAGGGCAAGCTGGAGTTGAGATAACTGGTCCAAAACTCTCTCTAATTAACCTTATAAATTGGTATGTGGGAGGAAAAGACCTCTATGACTTTAACATAAACAGAATTAGTATTTTTAAGTGGTTAAAGTCATCAGGCTTCATTAAGGATACAGAAAAATTGTCAGAACCTTTTTAGGATTGAGTTATGGAATGATACATTACTCGCAAAAAATTTCGGACAAAAAGTGCTTGAAAATAAGACCATCAGAAATTTTTTAGCATCCGAAATTTTAAGTGTCCGAAAAATATGTACAAAGCAATGTAAGTAATATAGTTTTGGACTCAAGTTACAGTATATTTGGTGGATATGCTTCACTATCACTCTCACTCTGGATCATTGAGATCTGTCACCAATGAACTGTTAGATCAGTCAAGGTCTTTCACAAAGACCTATGGTGCTATGGCATTTAGTGAATGCGCAGGGCTTCAAATAACAGCCGGTCAACGGACTATGCCTGGTCAAAGAGGTTTTGTCCAGTCAAATCCTTAGATGGCTGGACAATTTGTCTACTTTTTTACACTGGTAAAGAAAAAAATCTAGAGTTTCAAGTTTTAAATATTTAAAGGTTCAATAATATTGGCATTTGTGAAAAAGGAGGGGGAAAAGGGAGATACTTAACTACCACACCAAGAACTTTTAATAAATGATTTGTAATA